TCTTCTTCTTCTTCTTCTTCTTCTTCTTCTTCCTTTACAACTGGAATAGCTGATCATTTAAATCTATCTGGCATCCTGCCCTCTCAGAAGGGAAGAAAAAGCATCATTCTCAGCCAACCTGGGAGACGTCCAATTTAAACTTGCCCACCCTATATCAAGTTTATGGAGGTATCATCTGGAATTTATCAACATAAATGGACAGTACTGAAGCTCCAAATGCCTTAAACTCCAGCTTCACAAACAACCAAACAATTAAAGGCAAACCAAATTACAACTGTTTTATCTCTGAATATTACAAAACAGTCAAGAGAATAACAGAATGTTCGGGCTATTTATGAGCTTTGTGGTGTGGTGTTTTATAAAGGCAATGCCATTGGTATCCAAACATTAATGGACCAAACTCATCTATTCTAAAGAACTACTTGGAGATGAACAAGACAACTACCAACTCAGGGATACAGTTCACAGAGTTCTGGAAACTGATACAGGAATGCCCCTGATTAAGTCATTCTAATCTTCCAAGGATCATAAGAACATAAACAAGGCAAGAGCAGAGTCCTGGTTTTCTGATTCCTGTTGAATATTTTTATATCTAACAAATACCCTTCTATAGATGCTGGTCCTTTTGTTTCAGACAGATGTTTGGCAGTTGCAGAGACCAAGGTCATTTTAGTCCTAAACATCCAGCTTCCATCCTCTTGCTTCCAGGTCTTTACATGATCTCACTGAAATAAACCAAGACTTCTCTGAGCAGTAAGTTACAACTGATAGCCAAAGAAAACATATTTTAAATATTAAATACACACTGAATATAGTTGGCAGGAAGGATTGGAATATGAATCTATGATGCTGAGTTTACAACTGCCATGAATAAACCTTAGTACAAGATTAAAAATAGGTATCTTTTTCTTTTGAAAGTATTTTTTGAAAATGAATCTTTGATGCCCCCTAGTGGTAATATCTAGCATATTTCAGAAAACAGTTCACAGGGCTGTAGAGTGTCAGATATCAAACATCAGGGGAGTAGAAGATATTTGGTTCTCTGAGCCTATTTACTGCAAATCCTCCTACATGCCTCTCAGCACAGGCTTCCCTGAAGATCCAAATTCAACAATGAAAAAATGCCCTCAGTTTCTCACAAGATCTTCTGGCAGCAGCTTAAAGTACTCAGAGGGAGAGTGTGGGTGTTTTGTTGTCTGGTTTATATCACTTGAATTCATATGGCATGGATTCGGCTGTAATTAATTTCATTCTAGTCATGGAAAAGCACAAGCAACTGGAACCAAGATATTTCCATGCTGTGACAAAACTTTTTTGGAAGAGATTCTTTATTTGGCTTGTTCTTCTTATCCCATTTTTATGGTATTCATTATTAATTTGATTGTTGCATGTGTCCAGCCTGCTTATGGGAGGGCAAACAAACTGAAGCTTAATCCTAGATAAAATAGAGCTCCTCCAGTTGTCAATCAGGCAGATTAGGAACTCAAAATTCACTGCATAGGATTACATGCTCCTTGAAGATTCAGATTTGCATCCTGGGTGTCCTCCTGGATTCCACTCTGAACCTGAATGCTGAGATTTCAGCTACAGTTGGGAATGAATTTGCACAACTCAGTTTAATATGCCAAGTGTAGCCATTTATGTGGATTTTCGATGGGGTCTTGATGAAGCTGGGCTTAGTTATTCAACAGATTGGAGCATTTTTGCTCTTCATGAGCTGCTTAAAGTGTCCAGACTGCAACTAATCCAGGACACTGGAATCAGATTGTTAACAGGAGCCAAATATAGGGTATACAGGTAGTCCTCATTTAGTGACTGCCTCATTTAGCAACCGTTTGCAGTTACAACAGTGATGAAAATGTAATTTTGCAACCAATGCCCACATTTACAACCTTCGCAGCATCTCTTTCAGTCACGTTCCCCATTACAGTCAGTTAGTACATGTTGTCCTGTGTAAAATCGTAAGCACAGTCGTGATTTTTCACTTAGCAACCGCTTTGCTTAATGGCCAAGTTGCTGGTCCCAATTGCAGTCACTAAACAAGGACTACCTGCGTGTACTTCCTTGTTAAAATACCTCTGGGCTACTGCTGTATTCCAAGCATAGTTCAAAGTGCTAGTTATAACCTTTGTATTTGCTGGGCTGAACTGGGCATTTTTTTTAGCAGCAGTTTTCTAAGTGGTCCAAATCCCTCCCTCTACCTTGACCTGCAGTTAGCTACTGTATATGCCTCGAATTTATGTTTAAATAATAGTTTTGTTGTATCGTACTCAGGCAAAGCTTGAATAATATTTTCTGTAGAATCACCATACAATTAGAATTTCAAAATAATAATCCTTTTTGGTTCACTTTAATTAGAACGGGAGGTGGGGGGCAACATCTGTAGTGACACCCACCTTTTCACTGGTTTCTTTGCCATTGTATAAGTAAATTAAAATACAAATGTTGCAACATACACTGTGAAAAAATATAGTACTGTACTGCATTTAGGATTTAACCTAACAACTTCAGCATGCAATGCCCTATCACTAAGTCATGGAAAGATGAAGTGTACTTCTACATCATATATACTTTATGAGATTGTTAGCATGATCTAGAATATGAAGAGGCTGCACATGGGTCAAATACAAATAGCAAACCAGTCTTTGGATTAAACTTTGTGCTTAGTTTTGATAAAGCTATGCAAGGCCATCTTTTCAATTGAAATATAATGACTTCATAGCACAACAGTTGGGCAAGTTAGCTTTAATGGAAAGAGACTGGGGACAAACATATTCAGAAGTTTCATTAAAAATTACTGACAGATGTTTATGATTTAGCTCGAACAATATGCTGAGTTGATTTAGGGCATGTAGAACACACAATGCAGTAACAACAAAACTGAAGGTTAAAATCAGCCAAGCCAAGCATGTTTTGTACATATACCCCTTGGAATGCTTATCTGGCATAACAAGCATA